ATGTATGTATTTATGTTTGCTCAACAGACCTACTTATGTACATATATGCATAAATATATACATACATACATATGCATGCATTGAAATTTTGTTGTTTCCATTGCAGTTGTTGCTGCGACGCATTAAAATTGCAATTACACCAACACCTGCCAAACAAAAACTGTAACAGCAACAACAACAACCGCAGCAGCAACAACGACGCCATCTTATCAACTGTAAACTGTAACAGCATGTTATGTGCCCGCCCTGCATGCCCCACTACAATGTAATCACACGTGTTAGTCGTTAAATATGCAGCTAGCTTAGTGGAGAGGGAGAGAAAGAGAGAGCACGAGCGAGAGAGAGGCATATGGGAAGATAGAGAGAGTGTAGTAATTTCGTAGCAGTATATGTATGTACATACATGTATGTACGTGTTGTGTCTGGTGGCGCCTTTGGGTTAAGGCGGTTTCGTAAGTTACACACACACACACACCCTCACACACACACACACACACACACACACACACCACGCGCGCATACATATGCATGTACATGTCATAGAATGCTATCGATACGCCGTTACAAATGGCAAGTTGTAAAATGTAAAAAGAGAAGAAGAGGCAAGATAGAGACAATATTAGCAATTCATTTTGCGATATTAATGAGTTTTGTTTTTGTTGCTGTTCTTGGTCTTGTTGTTGTTGTTGCTTCTTGGTCGAATTTGCATTTGAATTAGATAATTTTTAGCATTTAACCATTACTAACATAAACACAACAACTAACAAGTGTGACGCCGACTGCGCTGCCACACTTGTTGCCTTTATTTACGCAGTTGGCTTTGGCGCAATGGCGTAGCATTTTCTACTATGGCAAATGGCAACAGCAACAACGACAAGCAGAACGAGCGAAAAATTGAACACGCGCAAATAATTGCGCAAAATAACAACAACAACAGCATTTCGAATACATATGAATATACACACATACGTACATACATATGCATGTACATATGTATGTAAGTATTTACGTATGCCTATATGTACATACAGTCATATGTATGTATGCAAGTGTAATCGCAGCAGCAGCGCCGACAACAAGAACAACAACCACAACTGCAACTTTGTGGAAAGCACACAAAAGTGACTACGAAAAATACAAATCTCTACTCGAACCGACCAGCAGATTCCCTGTAGTCCGTGCGGCAGTGTAAAATGATACGAAACTCAATAGAAATTTCGAAATGTCACAAACAAATGAAGTTATAATATAATACGAGGAAGTTGAAACAAAAAATACAGAAAAACTACGGATATTTTTACACGACGACTCATTGAATAACATGTCCTTTACTGAAGTGATGAGAATGGTCAACATTATTGTTATTTTGGACGCTCAATCTACGGAGATATACGAGATATAATTTGAAAACTGAATTTCGATACAGTTATAAATGGATAGCAATTAAATGGAAATAGTAATCGAAATAATTTCAACTTTCTAGATCTTAGCTCGTAGCTCTGATCAAGAACTGCCACGCCTCCTTCTAGGTCTTAGAAACAGTTACTGAACATTTGCACGAAACAATTATACCCAGATGTATCATATTCAATGGGTATAAAGTTTACATGGGCAAAAATGCGCGGCAATCCGAAGAAAGCTTTAGACGCGGCCGCTGCTTTTGCCGCTGCTGCTGCTGCTGCTGCTGCACCTATTCTCTTGCTTTGTGGCTCATTCGCTGCATATGTAAATACATACATATGTATGTACACATGTGTGTATGCGTGTGCGTGTGTATGTGTGTACGTAACACGTAACGTACGCGCGGCAGCGACTATCATAGAACTAGAAGAGCCAAAGGGCCAACCGCAATGGCAACGGCAACAAATGTAAAATGTAAAGTGTAAAATGCAAAATCAACAAAAACGAAATCGAAATCGAAAACGAAAACGAAATAAATCGAATACGAAGACGAATTTTTGAGCAAAACAACGGTCAAATCAATGCAAAGCGAACTCCGAACTCACGCAAACACACATACACACACTCATCACACTGGCGCGCACACACACACACACACGCATACACATGCATGTGCGTAACAAATTGCATTGCAATGCAAGAATAACAAATTTCTATATGGAAAAAATATCTGCAGAAACAACTTGGAGACAAAAAGTTGCCAAGAAATTAAAGTGAAGTTTATAATTAAAGTCATATTCAAAAAGGATAATGATAATTCCTAGCTCAACCAGCTGCAGTCAATCTACACACATACATATGTACATACATACATAGGTAGATATACAATGCATTAACATACATACATACATATGTACATACATAATACACACACGCATAAACACGACTGGGCTGTGGGCTTATTATGGGAACTTAATTGTTTTATAAATTTTCTTGTGGAAGGGAGTTTCTTCATGAAACTTTCAGATTATAGAATTTAAATGGTTGCATTTGCCAAATCTCAAGTCTCTGATCATTTTTCAATGCACATTCTCAAGCTACATTTTAGTATTATCTGCCTTGTGTTTGGGAACATGATCATCATTATGCACCTATGTATGTAGATATTCAGCTATAAACATGATAATTATCTGCGAGCTTTTTGCATCTGATCTATTCGAAATTGCTATTCAGTGGTACCAGAATGTGGACTTCTAGACCGAGCTTCGCATTGGGGCTCGGGTCTCGCTTAAGCTTTTCGCAAAAAAAAAAAAAAAAAACTAGATCAACCAAAGATAATAATTAAAGAAATTTGTATCACATTAAAGAAGAGAATATTCAATGTTAAAACAATAATTATAAAATTGCTATCATCTCTGATTTTCTTAGATAGCTCTCAAAGCCTTTGTCTGCATTATGCGTAGCTCGCAAATGACAGTTGATCGTTTTTATATCCTGAACCCATTGAAAATGGGAAATCAGGGTAGAAGGTGTTGTGAAAAGTATGTAACAGCCAGAAGGAATCATCGTAGACCCCATAAAGTACATACATATGTACATACATACATATGTATGTATATTCTTGATCTGGGCGACGAGCTGAGTCGATTTCAAGTAGTAGAGACTTGTGCTTTGGAATGTCCACACATTATAACCATATGATCACGCTCATAAAGATAGCCCTACTACAAGAGAAATTATTCAACTGATAAAGTCTCATAATATTGACCACACTGCAGCGCAGCCCAGGCGCAGTCGCTGCTTACTGCGCAGTTAGCAGAGCGCGTGCCTATACATGCGTGTGGATGCATGAATTTGCATGTGTGCATAAAATAAGTTCAGAATGAGTAGAATGTCAGCTTACTTGATTCTTCTTTATACCAGCAATTTCAAGGCATTGTCAATTAAGTGCTCAGAGTCTTCTTCCCTTGTCGCGTATGTCGCCATTGATATGACATATGTATGTACATGTGTATGTAGTTGTTATAACATACATAACTTGTGCCGACGCAATCCAAATCTGAAGATTAAAAATTTATGTACATATTATATGTGTGCGAATTTCGATCTTGCAATTTATAATGCATTTGCAATATCACCAGTACGCCTTCATCTCGGACTATCCACGACTTAAAATCAGACTAGTGTAGCCAGTAATCCCGAAATATTTGCTTATTAATCTGTTTGGACATTTGATCACTCTATTCACATTCAATTTCAGATTAAAAACGATATCGATAATACATGCAAAGCACTTACACATGCACAATTCAATTCTACTCATTTTGGCACTGTTCTTAATCAAATATCGGTACCAGGGCTGCCAACATAGACTTTTACCGGCCAGATCAGGCCTTTTTCAACTGCCAAATGCAGGAAAAATTGTAAACTAGCTGCTTGAGGGAAATTCGGCATTTTTTAAAATCGAAGCAGCATATCGTGTGTCAATTTTCGAATAAAAATATAATTCCTAACAAGTAAGAAAGCTCTAGTCGAGACTGCTCGAGTACGGATCCCCTGAAGCCTTCGAGCAACTGATATTTCAATAATTCTTCGCGTATTTCTGCTTACATAAGAAGCAACACATACACACATACACACACACACACACACATACGCACGCATGGATAAAAACGCATTGGTTGCAGTGTGTGCTGACTATTGGAACTTAATTGTTTTATAACTTTTCTTGAGGATGGACTTTTGTTTCCGGACATTAAAAAAAATCAAGTCTCGAGCTCTTATATCTTCTGAGATCGACGCGTTCATACATACGGACAGATGGGCGGACAGACAGACGGACCGCGCTAAATCGATTCAGCTCGTCGCTCTGATCAAGAATATATATACTTTTATATCCTAATTTCCTATTTTCAATGGGTTCAAGGTATAAAAACTGAAATGGCTGTATTTCTGGCTATTCTTGAATCTAATCTAGCCCTTTCTAGCAGGTTTGAAAGATTCATTTAGCATTTTCTTTCCCGGAAAAGTTGGCAGTACTGATCGGTATAGAATTTGGTATATTTTATGCTAAAGCTCTGTTCGACTGTTCTGTCCCAGCAAGCATTTTTGCGTTTAACAGAGCATAAGTTAGTCTTAAAAGACTCGCGCGATGATTGAAAACAGTCATATGTGCGCTCATTTTCTGATCATAAAAGACTGTTCTGTCGGGAGAAAATGGTACCCTACCCGCGACTCTTCTTCATGAGTCGCTTATGACTCTTGTTTTTAATCATAAAAGAGTCTTCCACGAGTCATCTTTTAATCATAAAAGTGTCTTCCACGAATCATCTTTTAATCATAAAAGAGTCTTCCACGAGTCATAATGTAATCATTTTTTGACTCATATTCGATTGAAATTTTCAATAATTTGCAATGAAAAGAATTTTTTTCTTGATATAAATTTCATTTAATATATATATATATTTTCTTAAAAAATAACAGCAAAAAAAAAGTAAATTGATACAAAACAAAATATAGAAATTCAAAACAAAAAATAACAAAAATAGTAACAGAAATAGAAAGTATGTTTTATATTATTCTAAGCGCCTACGCTTTGCCAGCCTGTCATTGGCATGGACAAAATGCTTTTGTAGCACCGTATTTAAATCCTTATCCGTGCATGTAAATTTTTCATTAGCAATATTTAAAAGGGAAAATATTAATTAATAAAAAATATAAATATTTTCCAAAATAATACATACTTTTTATTACGGCTATAATGTAACACCTTTCTGCTGATGGTTTAATTTTTGTCCCCTTCCAGCTGTATTCGGAAGCTACCTTGTCCGAAAAAACTTTTCTGATCGCAGCTCTAACAAATTGTGTGGGCCCATCTCCTCCAACTCTCGATATTATATGTTTGATATAATTGATATAATTTATTTGTATGCACTTCGCACTTGCACTTCATTTGCACATTCACGCTCGAATGACAAAATTTGCACATTTCGGCTTGTGCTTAAGAAAAAGTACCGTTTAACTTAGATATAAGCTTAGATAAGAATCGCTTTTCGATCAGCCAAGCGAGCAGAATATGAGTGCATAGTAACAAAGCAAAACCAAGCAATGATAATATTTTAATCACCTGCATGCTCATTTGGCGATTGCTTTGCATTTCGTTTTTGTATTTTAAAGTAATCATACTTTGAGCATATGGATGGGTCATTTATGAGTCTTCTTTCAATCGCCCAGGAGATTAGTCGTTTTTTAATCGTCAAGGGGACTCAAAAAAGACTCATAAAGACGATTTCTGTTAAAACAGTCTTCCAAATGCTTGCTGGGGTAATGTTAATTAATAGAATTCTGTTGCATTCACAAACGATCAACAGGGAAAACAGCCAAAAAATATGAAAATATGAACGAAAATATAAACACGATTCGCATTCACAAAAAAAGTATGAATTTCCGGATAGGGAACGTTTGATACTTTTTCCGGACTCCCTTAAAAACAGGACGGATCTGTCCGGAAAAAGGACAAATTAGCATCAATGGTGTATATACGCATGTACATACGTATAAGCATTTGGGGGTTATTTAAGAAGAAACAAATTTAAACTTATAAAACCTTCCCAGTAAAATATCTTATTTGTAAAAAACTTAATACGTATGAAGAAAATATAGCATCAGAGAGATTTTGAACTCCCTTTACTCTAACACGACTTGCGTCGCCTTAACCATCCGCACCATCGATTCGCTTGATCAGCTAGCAGCTAAAATAAATAACTTAAGAACAGAGCGTCTGACAAAACTATAGTAACGGCTAGAAAATCCAGGAATCAAACCCAATTCTTTGAATATGCTAGAAGGTGCGCTTTTGGCTGCACGCAGAGAATAAACGATGAGTGTGTGCACACCAACGATTTTTTCACAGTCGATAGTTACAACGATCGATAATATCGATTCAAAGAAATGCTTCTGACTTCAGTTACATTTATAGCTATTATATAATATATATATTACATTAACAATATTTGAAACAACTAAATAACTAAAATTAAAATTTCCCTAGTGGCTTGGAACCGGTAACAAAAATATAATAAAAATCGAAGTTGTATAAATTTTACATGTAATTTGACGATCCTAGCTCCAAAGATGTACTAGATATAAAAGGGAATAGCTATCGATGATTTCCCAATTTTAATGGGATCATACCTTGCTCTTTGTTGCGTACTAGAGACTGGACAATTGCACTATATACTCGAGTTGACTGCGTTTGGGATGTGAATGAGTATTCTGCAATCGGTGACGCCCGACTGCAACGTTCTCACTTGTTCTTATATGCTCTGCTTCGTAACAAAACATCTCTTGGTTTTGTTTTGAATCGGTTTTGGTCAAGCGCTTTGCGTTGACTCATTCGTGTGACGCTCGCGTAAAGGGCAATACGACTTCCCTCGTACAGAGACTCTCAGCAAAAGAGAGTTCAGTTTGACTGAAAAGCGCAACAGCAGAAATGATCTTTGCCTTCGGGTGCATGTAAATACATACATACATATGTACATACATACGTACATATAAATGTAAAAGGAACGCAACAATCGCGCAAACGATCAGCGCTTGACTTGAGCGAAACGAAAACGGAAATATGTAACTGTCTCGCTCAGAGCGCGAGCGAGCTAATAGTTTTTTTTAAGTATTTGCAGACAACGAAAAAGCGATAACAGTTATTTGCGAGCTATGCCATTATGTAACTGGAGTCATTTTTTTGATTCTAAATTCAAGTATATTTATAACTATATTAATATTTTCATTCTTGGACCTCAAATAATGACCTGGATCTTGAAATCGAGTTGAGAGTATCCACGCTCATCCGGTTTCTTATTTGAGATGTTAGAATGCTCATTTGGCTGAGCACCCCCTCAACTTCGACCTTTGACCAAGGCAGGCAGGCGAATAATCTGCATTGCAATCATTGCCAACTCTTGGAATCTTTCGATAGCTGCACAATCTCGATAGTTGGTTAGCTCTACCCAAAATTTCTTGGTACTTTCAATGTTATCCCTTTGTACTTCACTGTACTGCCTTTCTATCATAGAAATATTTTCAAGATTAAAATATTCAAGAATTCAATTAATATTTTGCTTTTTAACTTCAAAAATACATATATTCAACCGAGAACAAATCAATTCGTTGTAATAGCTCCAAATTGTCAGATAATTTAATTTTGGCAACAATTTTATAATTTATAATACAAACAAATCATATCGAATGAATTATTTACCTTTGTTTTCATTGCTTTTCAAGCTCGGTAATAAAATTTGTGCACTTTTCTCGGATTGATTTTTCTCTAGAATCGTTTATATTAAAAGTTTTCATATTCCTTTCGAGATCATATCAGAGATATATGTAAATTCCCTTCCAAATGCTCGTCTTTAATTACGTTAATAATAATTATATAAATTGATCGCTTTCTCAATTTTCTCCTCATTAGCTGTGATTCCAAAATGAGTTTTAAGCTCGAGCCATTGCTCCATTCTCGTTACAGCCACCTCATTTCGTGTCACAAACTCTTGGAATTTTGAGGCAAAACTTATTTCGATTAAACATGTAAATTGCTACGTTTCGCCGTAATATTGTTTTTGCAATAGCAACAGAAAGCGCGTGATCGGTTAATCATCATCACTTAATAATGTTTGAAAAAGTACTCATAAAATTAGAACAATAAAAATATGTATCTGAATAAAGCTTTTTCGCTATTTTCGAAAAAAAAAAAAACAAAAGTTAGAATTCCCTCTTCCCGCTATTTTCCAATTTTAAAAAAGCCAGATCTGACGGGGAAAAAGGCTGAAACGGCAACATTGGCTCGGCGAGCAGGTCGATCGGTAAAGTCCCGCTATGCGCAATTCTTTTTCTTTGCCTACTTACCCTACTCCCACCAGAGTGAAGAGCATTTCAATATCAGAAAGGCATTTGCTACGCTCACATAAAACTTGAATCTTTGCAATTTGGGAAAATGTATGGCATTGTTATTAATATTAAAGTTTACCCTAGATGTGATTTAACTACATATGATTAATGCTGTGTTGGTTAATATGGTTATGTACATATGTATGTATGTATATCCAACAGCTGTTCCAGAATCCTGTTGAGAATGGATAGCTTGACTTGATTTTTATGGCATTACATATTTGAAGATGTTCCCAGTTTTGGAATATTGCGAAATTAGAGTATCCTCTAATCTATAATGTACATACATATGTATGTATGTATGTATGTACATAGAGACTTGGACTTTAACATATACACAAATTCTATATCATTGATATCAGATTGTCTCAGTACAGGAGGATTATGTCAATAAGAATGTACATACACACAGATTGGAGTATTAGCGCTTTGCAGGGTTCAGGATATCTAACTAGTCGAGCAGTCTCGAATTTGGTTCTTTCTTACATATTGTGTATGTGCGTGGACGTGTGGACTAGTGGGCGTGGCCAGGCCAGCTGTTGCCTTATCGAATTAACTTTGCTTGATGCAATTATGTTCATTCCACGCCCACTTTAATGATGTTATCACACTTGGTTCTATGATATGATGACGTGTCTCTCTCTTTATGTGTGTGCGTGTGTGTGTGTGTTCACACAAGTTTTCTAGAAATTTAAATTTAATAGGCCCGCTGTATGCCCATACATACATATGTATGTACATACATACATACATACGTATGTATGTATGTATATGGATCTATGTATGGAGATATACCCTATACAATTGGCCAATAATATGTATGTATTCAATAGTATGTACTTACATACATACATGTGTACATACATACATACATAGCTTATAGATTCATATTCCGCATAGAAGTAGCACATCTTCTTCCTCTGCGTATTTATCTTCATTTGCTTGAGCGCAATTTAATTAGATAGGGAACCTACCTCAACCTCGAATGTCTCATAACTTTGTTTTTATTTTTTCCTTTTGTTTTGTTTTCCTTTTCTGCTGCTGTTTGCTTAAGCTTTTTTCCGTTTGCCTCAGAAGTTCAGAGGTTCAATCAACTATGTATGTATGTATGTATGTATGTATTTAGCAAAGCAGGGGTAGGGGCAGAAAACAAAAGGAGCTAGAATTACATGCGCATGCATGCAGTGTGTGTATGTGTGTGTGTGAGCGCGCTCGCACTATTCCATATGAATGCGAGTGCATATGTATGTATGTATGTATGTGGGTATGCTCTCATACATACATACATACATGTGTACATACACACATACATACATATGTATGTACATATGTATATACAACATACGCAAATTGTGATCAGACATCGTCAGTGATGTCAATTTTCTTTGGAAAAAAAGGAAAAAATGTCCACAAATACGGGAAATATGCTGAAATTTAAAAAAATGGCAGAGAACAGGAAAAACAATTATTTGTTAAAAGTTTGCAATTTATACATTTGCAGATTCTGCAAATGTCGTCTTCATCTCGGACTATCCACGACTTGAAATCTGGCTACTGCAGCCAGGAATCCCGAAATGTCTATAAGTCTCCTTGGGCATTTTATCACTCTTTTCGCATTGAACACAATTACAAACTATATTGATAATACATACAAAGCACCTACACAATTCAATTCATAATTGTTATTCCCATTTTGGCACGGTTCTTAACCAAATATCGGCACACAATTTCGTATACATATTTAGGATGTTTTTCAATTTTTCCGGAAGAAGATCTTCAAACAGGACAGATCTGTCCGGAAAGAGGACAAATGGGCATCACTGGAGTGCGTATATGTATAAATATAAATACATATGTACATGCATATGTATGAATATATGTACATACACACATGCATATGTATGAATATTTATACATACATGCATATGTATATATGTATATGTATGTATATATGTACATACATATGTATGTGTATGCGTAATTTTAAATGAACAACAAGCACCTTATGCATTTTTACCTAATTGTCATTTATACCTTTCATTTGTAAACAAACCTGAACTGGTAGTGCTCTCACACTCAATCACTCAAAATCTCACTCACTCATTCAAATGCTCACTCACTCACTAACTCACTCACTCTCTTGCTCGCTCACTCGCTCACTCGCTCACTCAGTTGTGCGCTACCGGCCGGCAGAAACAGCACAACAAAAATAAATAAACAGAGAATTTAAATTGTGTAGAGACAAAGAAAGCGACAGAGGCCGACGCAGCAGCAGCAGTTGGCAGAGGCGGAGGAATTAGTTTCACTCAATGTGCGGCATACATCCCACCACAACATTTCAGCAAATACAGACACTCTTATTCCAGACGTCGGATCGGTTGCACGTGTTACGCGCAGTTGGCTCTTCGTCTTTGTAGGTTTTTGACTGTTTCCCGCTCAACAAAAAAATATATAAGAAGTAATTTAATGAAACAAAATATTAAGAATTATTCTGCAATGATTAGGCAAAGCAATAGACGACAACAACAGCAACAAAACACAGATAATACAATAAATGTTTACCAAAAATAAGTTGAAAAATCTATCGGGGACTTACTTAAATCAAATAGAGCGTACCAAAAAGAAGAAAGTGATTCAAATAAAGAAAAAATCAAACGTGTGTTTTTTTTTTTAAACTGAAATCGCTAAAAATAAGCGAAAAATTCTAGACATCAAATCGCAGCAAGGCAGCAGCAGCAGCAGCAAACCTTCGCCGCGTCGAGTAAAAGTGAACGTGAAGTGAAGCCACGCAGCGCGTCAAATACCGTTACAACTACTAGACAATTGGTTAGCGCCGTCGATTGCGTTCGTGCGAGGTGTGAGTTGTGCGAAAGCTGAAAAGGAAAGCCGAAGGAGAGCAATAAATCCATCAGCGTATCGTAAATGAATTTTAAAGTTCCAAGAGGCGAAATTAAAAGGAATTGCAAATTACTCATAGACGCGCAAATCGACGTACAAGATTTTCGTGTGATTTTTCTTTTTTTTTTTTCGTTCCTGCTAGCAGTGAGCTTTGACAATTCACACAGTTACCATTTTATGCGTGTGTTTTGTTCAATCATATTTGGCTTGGCCGATCAAGAATATTGCTGAAAAGAAGAAGCAACAATTAACGAATTGGATTACAATTTTCATTGCATTTACTACTACTGGACGGACACACACACATACGTGTAGCGGAGGTAAGTTGAGTGCAATTTCGAATATTAGTGAAACGGACAAGAGGCAGAAAATAAACAAGAGCTGTCAGACTCACGCACACACACACACACACTTTTGTGACAAGTGTGCTGACACTTTTCGTTTTGCCACATCCTTACATTCGCTTTCATGCTGCTGTCAAGTTAGAGAGAGCAACGTGTTACTTTAATTTCTTTTACCGCTATCGTTGTTCGAGTGTGGGTAGAGTGAACGGAATTAGCTACTCGGGATAGACAGAGAGATAAATGCATCAGAATCGTTTGACGAGACTAGCTTTCGGTTTAACTGTCATTTCGTATTCGCGCAAGTGTCTGTGCTTATGTGTGCGTGTGTGTGTGTGTTTATGTGTATATGTGTCTGACTGTCTGCGAGGCAAATCAACAAAATTAGCGCGAGTTGCTAAGCGATTTGAGTCGCATATCAAATAGAATCAAACAATTTATTTATAATTAAGAGCCAATGCGCATTGCTCTGATAACTTTTTTGAACTGCTGTCGTCGACGTCAGCAGCAGCAGTAGCAGCTGTTGCTGTTGCTTCGAATGAACATCAATTCGATTTTACATCATTTTTACAATGGTCAATTTAGCTGTCAAACTTTTTTTTTTTTTCCTCTCTTCACTTCTCTTTCACTTTTTACAAGATGGCTGCGTGAGTCGTGTGCTACCTACTTTTATGCATTTGTCTTTTCCTAAGGATGTCGCATTGAAAAGCACAGTGAAAACGAACAATAAAAACTAGTTAGGGCTAGAAATCAAAAGAATTTAATTTAGATAGACGGAAGTCCGGTAGAAAGTGAAAAAAAAAATTATTAAAATGAATGTAATTGAACATATTTTTTAATGAAATTAGTAAACGAAATTAATATCAAATTAATCAAATTATTAAATACAATTACAATTAAATAAACTATAAAATGTAGGCAAAAAAAAAGTATAAATATATATATATATAATATAGAAATATATATTTTGCATTTATCTTTTTTTATGTTTTCTTAAAATAAAATATAAACACAAATACATATATGAATATGAATATACATATATTTTTTGGAATACATTGGTACTTAAGTTTTAATTTTATTTTTCAAAACTTGATAGAAATTCTTAAAATAAAAACAATATTTATTTACAAAAGAAAAAAAATACAAATGTATATAAAATATATTTTTATACTATACATATGATAAAAAAAAAAAAAAAAAAATTCAAAAATATATAGATATGTATATATGAATACATACATACATATAAAAAAAAAAAAACGCAATATCTGAGGCAAATTAGTTCACAATGATAATCAGCATGAAACATAGTTGGTAATAGTATATTAAACTCGTGTAGGATATTTATGGATTTGAATTGAAATATACATATTCCAATATTCGTCAAATACTTTGAAATTGAATAAAATGATTCATGGCCTGTTCTTCCCTCTTCTCTCTCTCTCTCTCTCTCTCTCTCTCTCTTTCGCTTCAAACAGTTTTTGCAGCTGGATACTGTGCTACTGTGCTACTGTGCTACTGTTCTAGAATAGAGCAGACACACCCCAAACTCCGGACGTAATTTGTGAATAGAAGGGGAAGAGAAGAAGGTGGCCAAAATGACGACCGTTACCAGCGGCATTTGCATAAGCAGCGATTTCGACTACTTGGACATGGAACTCAGCGACCTGATGGAACTCAACATTAACTACAGGCTGCCCAGCATACAGAATGACGTGGAGAGGATCGCCGCCGAGCACTCCCACCTGAACAGCTTCGCGCTGTTCGACGACACAGACTTCAAGCCGGAGATTCGCAACGGCGACTGTATGTGGCCCACCTTCGGCAGCTCCGGCACACACGGCGCCAGCGGCAGCGGCGGCAACAACGTTTCGGCCGCGTCCAGCTACAGTGAGAGCAGCGCCGTGCCGCCAGCCTTCGTCAGCGGCAGCGCACTGTGCATCAAGCAGGAGCTGGAGGATGAGGAGCAGCTTGAGCAGACACAGCACCAGGAACTGGACCTAGATCAGCATCACGATCTCGACCAGGACCACGACAATGACAGCAACAGCGAGAACTGCCCCCACAATAGCAACAGCCACAGCAGCAAGAGAATGAGGATGAACAGTTGCAGGTCAACTGGCGGCAGCAGCAAGTCCGCTGCGGCGGCGACAGTAACGCCCACGATTCAGATACCCAGTCGGGCGACACAGCGGGAACCCACTATCGAGCCGTATATACCGCCTGGTGGCTCGCTGCTGCGCAAAAGCAACACGCAGCACAAGCTGCAGCAGCAGCAACAGCAACAGCAGCAACAGCAGCAACAGCAACAGAAGCTGCATCAGAAGGCGCAGCAGCAGCGCTACAGCTGTTTGATAACAAGCAGCAACAGCCTGCCGGATGACGAACCCATGCCGGAGGTGTTCAAGCACAACGTGGACCTGCGCGCCTGTGTGATGGGCAGCAACAATATTTCACTGAGGAGCACCTCCGACGAGAACATCATCGACCACCTGAGCCGGGAGCTGCAGAACACGAGCAAGGAGCGCATCGACCTGCCTTACCGCATCCAGGGCGATCCGCCCATCATCACGGACGTGCTGGAGGTGCTCAACCAGCAGGCGCAGCAGTCGGGCCGCTCGGCAGCAGAGGCGGTGGCGGCGGCTGCGGCAGCTGCCGCAACACTGTCCCCCCCGGCCACAACGACCACCAGCTCGGACTCCGAGTCGGACTACGGCGATTGCTCCATGCGCCACATCAGCGATCACAGCTACACGCGCTGCAACGAGGTGGAGGCCAACCTGGACACGCCCTCAGACTCTGGTGAGTGTTGTACGCCCATTTGTTATACCTAGGACAATTATAAAAGTTTAGGGGTCAATAGCCCCTCGATCCGTCCCTCTCGCCCTCTCTCAATATCAGAGCATCTGATGCATTTTCCGATTGACTCGATTCGTTAATATCCCCTCGCATCATGCGTCTCCCATCCTTTCCTCGCTTCGCCTCACCTCGCCCAGAGGCATTCAACTAGTGTGTGCCGCGCTCTGCGTGGGTGACTGATGACGCGCCCAAAAATCGATCGCCTACGTCAACAGCAAACGTAGTAAACTGTTTGCTGCTGCTGCTGGTGGCACACACGCCCATACGCCTATACGCCCACACGCCCACTCACTGCGCATCGTTGCCAAGTTTTGGGCAGAGCTTTCATTGATTTTCCTTTCCCAGCGCGCTCGAGCTCCCAAATAGCACCCGACCCCACCCCCAATATTTGCACATTTCGCTGGCGCCTTGTAGCCTACGCATAACAGTGAACAACCCCCACCCAATGCCACCTCCGCCCCCACATCCCCTCTGTTGCCACGCGCGTGGCGTGGCGCGTGGTTTTCATTGCTCATTATGTGTCTATGTGTGTGTGTGTGTGTGTGTGTGTGTGTGTGTGTGTGTGTGTGGAGGCATGGCGTCATCCTCTCGCACATTTGCGGAGAAGCATCCCCAAACGCCGCCATCTTGCGCAGTTTGTGCTACGCCCAAAAAAAGCTGTTTCTCTCTCACTCTCACCGGTCTGCCCACCCGTCCGCCCATCCGCCTGTCGTTGGGCAAGAACCCACGGCTCAAGGATGTCTGCGCTCATGCCACATGCTAAAAGCCACGTGGCGTCAACAGCGCCACACCCTACGCCCTCTCGATTGCCTTGACTATTTTGGCCATAGTTTTTGGGTTCAATGTCTTCTGGCCATTCGCGCTCTTTGCTTCATACCATTTCTCTTAAACACATTGAGCTACCCTCGCCAATCTATGTCTCTACTCTTACTACCACTACTACTACTACTACTACTAGTACTACTACTATTACTATTAGTATTAATATGACTGGCACAAATACAAATGCAATTTGGCGCGTAAAGCTTTCATTCACAAACTGCACTCGCATGCACACACACACACACACACACACACACACACACACACACACACACAGGGAATCTCCCTCCTAGCGTCTTACTTTTGCTCCAACCTTCGCAATTATTTTTATTATTGTTATCGTTCTTTGTTTTTTTTTTTTTTTTTTTTTTTTTTTTTTCTGTCAATAAAATAAAACACGAATACAAAAGCAAAACAAAACATGCATAACAGCGCAAAGCCAAACAGCAACCGTCGCACGTTGCTGTCGGCGTTGGCGTCGTCATCGACGTAGCGTCGACGCTACCGGTAAAGTGCACATGTGGCCTCTTCGCTTTCGCTCTCGCTCTCTCACACTCGCACGCTCACTGCTTGCGCCGAGTGCACTCACACTCGCAGTCAGTGCCGCGGCTGCTGCTGTGCTTGACGCATTGTCTGCCGATGAGCGAGAGATTCAATTGCGGACGCTGCGGCGTAGCGCAGCGCGTTGCGTTGCGTTTGCATTGCGTTTGTTGTCGGTCGTGTTTTCTTTTCGAGGGTATTTCGTGTGAGGCTAAATGTTAACTTATAACGTATGGTGAATTACCGTTATTAAAATAGGAAAAAAAAAAAAGTGGTTTCAGTTATAATTGATATGACACAATAAATTCTGTTATATATATGTACATACATACATATGTACATGTATAACAGAAGCATAATCGTGGGTGTTGCCTTGTTACCAAGCGCGCAAAATTCGCTGCTCTCGTCTATTTTCATATACAAATGTAAAAAATCATGCGTACATGTGTGTGTGTGTGTGTGTATTTGACTATTAGCGAAAAACGCCCACACAATAAACATTATTTATTTTATTTTATATATTTTTTTATATGTATTTGTGCTGTTGCTGCTCGACTTATCAAATGCGATTGCGAAAAGCAAAGCGCGTGAGATGACGATAAACCGAAAACGCGCAATGTGCGAAACCCGATATCAGATTGCTGTTGTTGTCACTGATAGCAGTTGTTGGGCAGCGCTGATAATTGAAATCGTACGCCTGTGTGTGTGTGTGCGTGTGCCTATGCGTATGCGTATGAATAATTTGTCAAAAGCAAAGCATGCACGCAGCGCGCGAAACCCATAGCAACAAAAAGGAAACAAAAATTAAATCAGCGCAGCAGCAACAACTACAACAGGTGCCTGCTGCAGATAGTGTGCGTGTGTGTGTGTGTGTGTGTGTGTGTATGTGTGTGCGCGTGACAGTTCATTAGCAATTTGAAAGACGGAGATGGTAATGTGAAAAGCGAGAGTGATAACGTGAGAGACGCCGAAACGAAGAGGAAGCAGCGAATTGTAATGGTAGTTATGTTCAAATATGTAGCTGTTATAATTTATATTGTTATACATTTGCATGTATGTATGTATGTAGGTGTGGGTAGCTCTGCTTGATGCTGCTGCCGCTGATTTGGCGGCCAGCTGTTATTGTTGCTATTGCTTTATTGGCATATTCGCACCTTTTGATTTGTGCGTAGAACAAAAACAACTAAACGAACTGTTGTTGTTGCTTTGCGTGTATTATTTCGAGTACCGAAACCAATCCAAAATAAAAAAAATATATATGTATGTATATAGAAAAATGTTAATGAACTGAACGAAGGTCGAATAATCATAAAATAGTGCGTAGAAACAAAAACGAAGCAGGAACGCAAAAGTTTATGGGAATAAGCTTAAGTGTTGTTGTTGTTGTTGTTGCTATTTGAATTCCCAATTAAATAAAACTAACCAGAAATAGTGCGGCGATGCGTGATGTGTGCTGACAACGCTTACGGCGGGGGGAGCTGCCCAAGGGTTGTCATTCGAAATTCCTTTAACATACATATGTATTTATTATTTCATTTACTTTTCGGCCTTTTTGGTGAAATTTGTTTTGCTGTTATTTTACTTTCGCTGGGGCAGCAAATTTATGCGTCTGGCTCGGGCGGCTTTTAGCGCCCAGTTATAACAGGCGACCGACCCACCAAACCACCAAAAAAAAAAAAAAAAAACACACCCAGCAACAACGTAAAAAGCTCTAACTATGGTCCAAAGGCTGTGGCGTTGTCGACTAACAAAATTTTTGTCTTTTTTTTTTTTTTCGTATTTCGACAATGCTCGTGCTTCTTACGTTGCGCGATGTTGCTATGCGCGTCTTTTGCGTTCGCACACACACACACACACTAACCCGACTAACCGCCTGACCGTCCGCCCTCCCGCTGACTGTGGTCTGTCTTTGTGTGCGTCTCGTTCGCCCTGGCGCTTTCGGCTCGTGCTTCTCGCTCACTCACGCATTCATTATGCTGCTTATTCGCGTACACGTGAAGCAATAAATTGTTATGCTCAAGGTCGACGTTGATGGCGACAGCGACAGCGGCGTTGACTGCCGGCTGCTATTGCGCTGCTCTTTACACTCGCACTGTTGATGCGTCGCTGCTTTTATTATTATTATTTTATGTTTTATTATTATTATATATATATATATTTTTTTTTTTTGCAATGATGCCGACGCCAACGAGCCTCCCTTTTTGGTCGGCTGTTTGTGTTGTTGCCTTAACTGGAGACACAGCCTCGTACATGTCCATACACACACATAAATACATACATACATATGTGCGTGTTCTGTATGTATGCATGTGAATAGAATGTTGCCAAAAAACAAGAACAGAAGAGAAGAGGAGGAATGTTGCTGCCCGAAATGTTGCCAGACGGTATTCATTGTAATTTTAATAATTCATGTGATTTGTGTGTGTGTGTGTGTGTGTTGATATTGAAGCATTGATGTTAGAAGCTGGCGCGTTGCGGCATTGTCAGTGGGCGACATCGCTCTGCCCGCTCTTAACGACTTTTTTTTTTTTTTATTGTTATTGCGTTTTTATTTTTGGCGACATTTGTCATTTGAAATAGAGTTTGGCGAGCATGACTCATGCTGCTGCTGCTGCTTCTTCTTCAGTGAAAAAAGGGCGTGGCATTGAACAGATGCAGATTCCAAGTCAAATGTTGCGGCAACAAGCTGCGCGCAACAATATGTAATTGCAATCAACGAGTCATGGGAAGCAGCCGCAGCAGCGACGGCGACTGCGCAGCGGCTGAATAGATTAGATGCAATAAACATTTTATTTTTAAGATTGCAACTGCAATTTGTTGTTCTCCTGTTGCCTATTGGAGAAACCGCAAAGTGCCAGCGACATGTTGCTAACACATGCTGGCAACATACATACATACATAAGCTGATGGAACCGGGACCCTCCTGATCCTGGTGTTTATGTGTGTGTGTGTGTGTGTGTGTGTGCAATTGGTTTGGTACCACTGTGTGAGCGTGGGAACACAGTGTGGCGCTCTCTGTACGGCAAATTGCAAAATGCAAATAGGAATGGCAAATGTTGTCATTCGAAATTTCTGAGAACGGTTGAAATTTCTTAGAATCGCTGCGCAAGTATAATAAACATTTATAATGAATACGCATGTAAAAGCTTTGAGAAACACGAAGAGGAAGAACAAATAACAAGAACAGGCAGAAACAGAAGCAGAAGCAGAAACATTGCGAATTGGATGAAATGAAATCATTTTGTTGGAATTGTCGTGAAATTCCAGTTGATGCCAATACAGGAATATGAATAAGCACAATCAAAACGGAATATAGTCTGAGAAGAAGAGGAGGAAGTGAAGGAACTGGGAACAAGTTGTGTGAAATTTGTATGGTTCTTCTTTTTGTGCTTCTTCCTGTTTTTGGTGTTGATTTCTATTATGAATTGAAATAATTGGAAGAAGGTCCAAGAACAGAAGAGAGTGAAAGAGACAGCAGCATGACAATTGAGCATAAGAAATGTTATTAAACAATTTACAAGCAAAAAAAAAAAAAAAATATATATATATATACATATATATATAACAACAGCAATAAACAGCCACACCCCACTGCCCCGATGCGTGGGCGTTGGCAATTTATCGTTAGCTAAGTGAATAGTTGTCTATTTATTTATTTATTTATACATGTACATATGTATGTGTGTACGTGCACAGTGGGTCAGTGTAGGCAACAATTTCAAGCATAGATAAGATGCTTTGTACCACTATGCTTTTCGTCTAACTTATTTGATTTTGTTGCCTTTTCGTCTTTTATAGGCTTGAAATTCCTCATGTGAGAATTACATCATATGCCATTTTTATTTTTATACTTCTCCATTTCAATTTCATTTTCGTCTCGCACACAGTTGTGTTTACATTACTCAATTTTAAAGCATTTTTTTCGTTCGTTTTGCATTGCTGACGGCAAGGAGAGAAAGAGAGAGAGAGCGAGCGATAATAAGAGAGTGTGGCAGTGAGCGTGTGTGTGTGTGCGTGCGTGTGTGTGGGGGAGACGGAATTAGCGACAGCCTTTCCTCTATATTTCTATCTATCTGCTCTTTATCTGTGTGCATTATCAAGAATAACGGGTGTCATCGCCGAGGGCAGCAATGACGTCGATGTTGACGCGGACGCCGACGCCGACGCCGACGTCACGACGCGTCGCCTGCCTGCTACGCCTCAATTAACATATACATTCATATGTACGTAGGTTTTGTTGCTTGGGGCGCTTCAGTTTTGCATATATCATACATATATATGCACGTGCATGTGTGTGTATTGAACTGTACTAGTTCCCTTCCCCGTTGCGCTCCCTTTGCTTACAGCCAACACTCTTTTCTGTTTTGTTTTTACCGTTTCATCTTGCATTCTCGTGAAATGAATTGAGCAATGAATGCACTTGTCATTTGCTGACCCTTTTCGCAATATGAAAATTTTGTAGGGCAGGAGATTTGGTGGTTGCGGCTGCGGCTGAGTGTGAGTGAGCGAGTGAATGAATCTCACTGACTGTGTGCGTTGGTGTGTGTGAGCGAGTGCCTGTGCCGCAGTTGCTGTAGCTCTTCGCATAACGCCCACAGATGCCGACAGCCGGTAGCTGCATAAAAGTTGCGCAACTTACAAGTCATGCTCGTTTCTATGCATGTATGGGTGTGTCTGTGCTTGTGCCCATATCTGCTCTGTGTTTGTGCACTTTATTTGCAATTGTAATTAACTACGCCGGTAGCAACAACAAGCTGTTTCCTCCATGCCGTTGGCTAGCAATTGTGCTTTATTATTATTATTACTATTACTATTACTACTTCAGCTGGGCTGTGTCTTGATTTGATCTTGGCGCGCTTAGCAACAAAAGTTGCCAAGCTGTCGGTTATCGCTGCAAACAGGTTTTTCGAGTTTGTTTTGTTTTCTTTTGTTGCTGACGGCGACGTCAGCAGCGCAGCAGCAGTAAAGCTGTGAGTGAGCTTTCAGACTTAAATACATACATATATACATATGTATGTATTTACTTTGTAAATCTGTGTGCATAGGGATGTGTGTGCGTATGAATCCCTCGCCGTCGGCTTTTTATTTTAATTTTTTTTTTTTTTTTTTTGTTTGCACATTGCAGTTTGCATAAATTATTTTTGAGGAAATCTCCCTGGCAGTTGTGAATTAGTTGCATTCTCTGCGCTGATCGATTTGCTCAACATTTGAAATGCTTTAAAGCTATTTTGTAGCTTTCATTGCTGCTGTTGTTGCCCCTGCTCCATGCTGTGGGCATGTTCACAAAATTCAAATCATTCATAGCCCAACGTCGCGTCATCTGCGTGCGGGGTCTTCGCGTTTTCGCCCATATCCGCTTGAAACTCCTGCGAAACAAGAACAACAAAAGAAATGCACAGCAACATTTTTTCTTTTCTTTTTGCTTTCTGGTTTTTGCTGTGTCAGCAACATGAGGAGCGACATTGTTGCTGCAGTCGCATTCCAGGCTCCAAAAAGAAAGAAACTAAAATGGCCGCTGGGCAACATTCTTGCTGGGGTCTCCGGTAAGGTCTGCTGCTTGTCTAGCCAGGAGACTGATGATGATGTTCATTATCGTGTTTGGTGGTTGGGTAAGATTTTTGCTGTTGGTTTTCTTCTATGGCAACGCTTGGCTGACATAGCCCTTCGCCCTTGCCCCTCGCCAGCCCCATTCCATCCCGCTCTCGCTTCTGCTTTGCGTGGTTTCGATTTCGTTCGTTGCGGTCGCTCGCTCGCTCATTCGCTCGATGCACTTGGACTTGGACTTGGACTTGAAATATTGAACGTGGATCTCCAAGATTTGTTGCTGTAGTTGTTGTTGTTAATTGAACTTTGGAGCTCGGTGATGTAGTTGTTGCTGCTCTTATGCCTTTTGCTTGCAGTCTCCAACTTCTTTGTGGTCTCTTCTGCACCACGTCTCCCTCTGTCTCTCGACTGTTTGCACAGTTGCCAAGGCAAAAGGCAAAAGGCAAAAGGCAAAAAACACACACACAATATTTACAATCAGCATATGTGCAAATATGTGGTGTTTATGTATATACATATGTAAAATGCATGTGTGTGTGTGTTTGATTTGGCATTGAGGGAGACGGATTAGAGTAACGGTTGATAAGCTGTAGCAAAAAGTTTCTTAATTTAATATATGCATTTTTTTTCTTTTCGTTTTGTTGTTGTTTTTTTTTTGTTTTTTGTAATTTGATGAAAGGCAGTCAAAATGTGGCTGGGCCAACATTTTGATTGCAACAAATGCGACTGCGACGGCGACAGCGACTACTTCGCTTGGTTCAATGAACGCGCGCACGCTCCAGCGGAAGAGCCAAATTAACAACGGAAGCTGAAATTCCGCATGGTTTAGGGTTGGGACAGGGATCGAGGCCGAGAGGAAAGAGTCGTATCTTTCGCCCCCGCCAGCTCTGTTGCGCTAGTTTAGCGTAGAGCTTTATCAGCGATAGCTTTTTTTTTTATTTTTTATTTATTATATTTTATCGTTGTTTCAATACTTTTGCCAAAGTAAGTTTTCCGTTGTGCATCGTCTGACGTCAAGGAGCCGGTAGAGTTGAGGGTTGCTATTGCCTTCTCGCTCCCTCGGTCGCTGGATGCCCATTGTCAGTACGCAAATCTATTACTTCCTGAATTCTGATACTGTTGCAAGTGGCGTCAGGCCACTTGTCTCGCAACGCTGACACACTAATCCGCTTTGCGTGGAGCCTAGCGCATGCCCCAGCCAGTCAGTCAGAAAGCCCCACTCAGCCACCCACACTCCCAGCACGCACACAATGACATCATCATGTTTCTATGCTGTAGTCATTGAACTGTCGTTGGCGAATGCCAGACATTTGCAGGGCTTTCTTAAGACACACGACACGAGATATGTACATACATATATTTATCTACATACATATGTAATAAATTATGAATGGTCTTTATTGATTGGCTGATTGGAACACAACTAACATTAGCCCACTAGAGTGACCTTGGTGACTTGGTTACTCCGTATTAACTTAGATAATGCCTTTACCCTGTACCTCTGTCTTAGTCGAAAATAGTTTTAGAATTCGAGTGTTGTAATTTCCCCAAATCACAATTAGTATTCGTTTGCTGCTGCTCTTGCTCTTGTTTATGACAACTACGAGAATAAACCATCAACCATAGACCATGAACTATAAGCCATAAACCATAAACCATAAACCATAAACCATACACCGTAAACCGTAAGCCATAAGCCATAAACCTTAAACCATAAACCCTACCATAGTATTGATGTATATTTAGACTCCTTGGTGTCTTGGTAACTAACTCATTGTGTTTTCCATTCTCGTTTCTCGTTTTCGCCGCAGATGAGGAAATCGACGTTGTCTCGCTGAACGATAAGAAGTTGCCGACGAATCCATCGGACCGCGATCGACGCGTCCTCCAGACAAAGGTGGCCAACAAAATCTCGAGCGACAATCGCATCGTGGCCCACCGCTCGTCCAGGCGCTATGAGCTGCCCTATACGCCGGCTAGCAGCAGTCCCGTTAAGTCTGTGGCCAACTCTCGCTACCCGTCGCCCTCGAGCACGCCCTACCAGGGCGCAGGCGCAGTGCCAGCCACCTACTCGCCCGAGAGCAGCAGCAGCAGCGACTGCTTAAGTCCGCCCTGCGTCATTGGCGTGGCGCCCCTCGGCAAGAAGAATCGCAAGCGCTTCTACATGCCCGACTGCAATGAGTTCTTGCTGGCGGCGGCCAAGCGTCAGCCACGTTCCTATTTGCTCTCCAAACAGCGCCCCCGGAAGCGTGGAAAATTCAGTTCAAACGGCTTCGATGCCAAGGACGTCCGCAGCGTCATGTCGAATGGCAGCAACTGCCCCAGCCTTAGCACCATCACCAGCAGCAACAGCAGCCACAGCAGCCACAGCAACGTCAGCAGCAGCAGTAGCAGTAGCAACAGCAGCAGCAGCAGCATTCACAGCCACATCCACATCCATAGCATCAACAGCAACGTCCTGAAACGTCATCTGAGCGTCGATGAGGCGGATACGATTGAGAAGCGTAATCTGCATAACGATATGGAGCGCCAGCGTCGCATTGGACTTAAGAATCTGTTCGAGGCACTCAAGACGCAAATACCCAACATCAGGGACAAGGAGCGTGCGCCCAAGGTCAACATCTTGAGGGAGGCGGCCAGGCTCTGCGAGCAGCTGACCAGCGAGGAGCGGGACCTGAACGTCAAGCGTCAGCTGTTGAAGGCTAAGCTCAAGCAGCAGCAGGAGCTGTTGGCGCGTCTGCGCATGAGTCTGAGTAAGAATGCCGCTGAATGATGATAGCCTTAAGAGAGTAAGAGAAAGAAGAGGAGCAAATGTGGGGGAGGGAGAGAGAGGAATGGAAGCAAGTGCGGGTAAGATAGGACTACAAGTGAAGAACGTGTTTGCAAGCAATCCATGTTTAGCGGTAACTATCGATAGACCGATAGATTAATGAATCGGTAACGACGACAGTTTGAGACCGATGTAGAGAGGGACAGATAGGAAGAGAGAGAGAGTAGGCGCAAACTGACTAGGTTTTTTTTTTTTTTTTTTTTTTTTTTTTTATGTGTAATTTGACGTAGGCTCAGATAAGCATTTTTTGAACTTCAATATCAGATTTTAGTATTAGCCAGTAGAGCGTATGATCGATCGATCGAACTGTCTCGATATTGATGAGAGATAACAACAGATAACAATGATAATAATTACCATAACGATAATGATGACGATGCAGTCAGATAGTCAGATAGATGATTGCTTTTCTACCGACATTATCTACTGCTTCGGATGCTACAAATAATACATAACAAACGATCGTCGAATAGTATATTTAAACAAAAGCAAATATATATATTCGTTTATATAATAAATATAAACATCCTTGAGCTTTCAGCTTTGGCTTTATATATTGCTATATTTATATATGTTATATATGCTATATATATATATTTTCTTATATAACTATAACATAGTGATTTAAATTGGATTTCTTTCATGTGATATTTTTGATTTGATTTTGAAGTGAAACAAAATGCAAGTTGGAAGCAAAAACTATAAACTATAATGTTTCTATTGAACGTAGAACTATGAAAGGGGAATTTCAAATGGAAACAAAACAACTTCATATTCTCTTTTCTTTTGTTTTTTATAATATTTTTATTTTGTATTTTGTTTAATTGAATATGTATCGAGCTATAGATATAGATACAAATATTAGATGCTTAGGAATTTAGTTTATATTTACTTAACCAAGAAATGAATAACAAAAACGAAAAAAAAAAAAAACAAAAAAATAAGATGGACAAGACCCAAAACAAACGGAGAAAACAAAACAAACGAAAAAAAGTAGAACGTAAAAAAAAAAAAAAAACGGAAACGGAAACGGAAACGAAAAACAGACAAAGTTGCAACGAATGAGCCACTAAATGCAAACAACAACAATAACACGTAGGAGCGAAAGAGAGGGAAGAGAGCGAGAGAGAAGGGATCTGTCTCACTGAAAGTATATTTAGAGAAGGAGACGCAGAGAAAGCGAAAGCGAATATAAGAGTCAAAACAAACTGCACACAGAACGGTTAATGAAATTAGACGAAAAGGAAGAGCGCAAATTTTGAAGCAGCGCCAAAAATTGAAATTCAAAGAGGAAAAAAAATAAAAATTACAACACATAAAGGAAAAACAATTTATAAACATTAAGTTATATAGAAAGTTACTATAAACAAATATATGCGTACGCATATGCGTTATACATACAAGCATAGATATAAATATATATGATTATATATATCTAATATATATCTTTTTATAAAACTAGCCGTATAGTCCATATTTATAATTTCTTTTATTTGCAAAAACATATATATATATATATATATATATATATATATATATATATATATATATATATATAATTATTAGCTAGCAGAACGACGACAGCGTCTCAAAAAAAGAAATCGATAGATAGCTTTCCTAGACATACGCAAAATGCGCTTAAACCATTTTTTACTGCCTAAATAGAAAACACATTGCGGTTTGTTCAATTTTTTTTTCTGAATATATAATGCATATTTTCGAAAAGAAAAACTATAGATATGTATATATCTAATAAGATGTGAACATTTGATATGCAACCTTAGACATGATTGAAATTAATTTAATTTCCTGATTTTGTTGTTGTCGTCCTGACATGCTTTAAGAATATGCTTAGGACAACTAAAGTTCTTAACAAACTTCTAACTACGCATATGAAATGCGCAAAATAATAATAACAATACAAGAGTGAACGAAACGAAAAGTTAAGAATTAGTAATAGGAAAACATGCTATAGAAATATCAATTTAAAATAGAATCACTAAGAAAATGATATGATGATAGGAGCAATAGATTATTTTCTTAGGAATATATACTGCAACCACAAAGAAGAGGAGATAAATTGTAGAAAGAAGAAGGGAAACATTAAGAAGAAGAAAACATTGGCTGCTTAGTTTGCGATGGTTTTTTAAAGCCGAGTGAGCTTTGTCAGCTGTTCAACTGTCGATTTTTTGCTAATAAGAGATGTGTATATGTATTTATGTATATATACATATAGTTCTTTAATATATTGAAAGAAAAACAGCAAAGCAAGTTATTGTCATGTATAAACTTATATATACATATACATATACATAATCTAAACTATTCAATTGAAGTCAAAAACAAAAACAAAATAAAACATACAAAACTTGATGCAAAACTGTTATTTAGGTTTAGTTTTGGTTTTTTTTTTATTATATATAATTAAACAATGATAAAAACGATAAAAAAGAAAGAGAAATAGAAAGAGAGGAAAGAGAGAGAGAGAGAGAGAAAATGTGAAAGGAAACACACACTAACTAAAAACTATTAGGAAACTAGTAGAACTAATATGAACTATAAATCTGATACATTTATAGCGACGTTTCAACGAACTTCTAGACAAATAGCGCTCATGGATTCACAACAAATTCTATCTTTCTATAATAACTATATATATATTATAAAATGTTAGTTTTGCTTTGATACTTGATGTTTTACCTGAGTATCGCTGGGTTCCTAACCTATGCTTAGTTTCAAATTTTTAATTTCGGGTTATTAAATGAAGAAGAAACAGAAGAGTAGAGTTGCTGGGATAATTTGATGATTTATATAATATCCCCAAGGCTTGCAAACGCGTTTGTTCTTACGAGTAAATAAACAAGAAACATTTGAAACATAATAGAAAACATAACAAACATTTTTTTACAAGTGTTTTGATGAAAGTAAAAGTAAAATATAAAAGATAAGGGTAAAACTATAATCTAGCGCCACTGCTCCCTTAAACATATATATATATATATATATATATATATATATATATATATTTTTTTTTTTTTTTACATATATATTTTATACATACAAAATATATAGTATATGTATCTTATACACTTCATTTAACGCGATATTAAAAAATATAAAGAAATAAAAAAAAAATGAAAAAAAAATTGTTAAATATATATATGTTAAATACTATTCAGGTGTTTAAGCAATTTACGGAAAAACATCAAATCAATTTTTATACAAAAGAAGAACAGAAAAAAAAATTAAAAAACCCAAAATGTAAATCTAAAAAAAAAGTACTTTTTTGTTGTTGTTAAAAAAACTAATGTAAATAGAAATCTCGTTAAATGCTAGTGACAAAAAAAAAAAAAAAAAAAAAAAAAAAACAACCAAAATAAATAGGAAATCGATACCCAATATTTTCTTAAAATTTACACTAGAATCAGATGAAGCAAAAAAATGAAAAACAAAAACAAACGAAAGATACAATAGATAAAAATGCAGTTGAAGAATGAAAAGAAATACAAAATACAGTAGATAAAAAATACCAGTAAAATCCTAAATACAAATTACAAGATAAGCAAAAGACTATTGTACAATTTATAATAAACAAACACAAACACATACATACATGTAAACACACACACACACATACATAGACACAGCCAATCAATACGAATGCACTTAGTTTCCTATAGTAAATATATATACATATAAATATGTATATGAAAATACAAAACATAGAGTCTTAATAAATACAATTTGAAAACCGTACAAATTTATCTGCAACAATAAAACAAACCAGACAAAATACACCAACAAAAAGAAAACTACAAAAAAATGGCAAAAATGTTACAGCAAAAAAAAAAAAAAAAAAAAAAAAAAAAAAAAAAAGGAATACAAGCAATTTCATTTATTATTTGTTAAACTAAAGGTTAAAAAAAAAAAAAAAAAAAAACAAAACAAAACGGAAAAATAAGCTATGCATTTTGCAATTAAAATTTAAGTTATTAAACTTTTTTTTTTTTGTAAACCAAGTGAAACACAACAAAGTAAAAACAACAACAACAACCAAAACCTCTAAATCCTCGCAAATATATATAAAAAAATAACTTGCAACAAGCAATTGTTGCATAAACACTTTTACGTTTATTTTTTATTTTACAATTTTTATACACATTATATATACATACATGTTTAATGTATGTTTATATATAACCATAGTTGTTGATATACAAAAAAAAAAAAAAAAACCAATGAAATCCAAAAAAAAAAAAAAAAAAAAAACTAAAAAATCAAAGGAAAAACTTTTTTTTTTTGGAAATTGTTCAATTTTTTTTTTTTAATTTGGCAAATACAAAATATCTTTTTATATAAAATTTAAACACACATTATTTAAACATACTGTATATGTAAAGAAAAGATTTATAAATATTCTATATATACGCTATCTTATATAAACTTATATCTAATACTTTTAAATCGTTATTTAGTTACTTATATTAATTGAAAGACGCGATTTTTCGATCTAATAAATGTATATAAAGTACATACATATATGTATATATGAATGTTGTATCCATATATCTCTATGGATATACAAAACTATTAATACCCCATATATACATATATATGCAAATCAAGCAAAAAAAATGTTTAATTATTATTTTTTTTTTCAAAATTATGCTTATAAAATTATATAATAAATATTTGAACATACCAAGAAAAATTCAATTCATTATCTTTTATTTATCGTTTTTTTTTTTTTTTTTTTTTAGCTTTTGTTTTACAGCTTCGAGAGATTTTTTCTACATATAATAGGTGTGTCTATGACAGAGTTTTTAGGAGTTGTTATTGGCAATTGATGGCTGTATTGATAGTACCGATGAATATATATATATATGAAATGTATGTAACAGGCAGAAGGAGGCGTGGCAGAGTATATATATTCTTGATCCGGGCGACGAGCTGAGTTGATTTAGCCCTGTCCGTCCGTCCGTCTGTCAGTATGTTTTGCTTTAAAAATCGATAACATTCCCCCTTATTTTGTTATCGATGAAAACCCTTATCGAAAACCAGTAATACATTTATATCTGCTACGTCTTGAACGTTAGAGTCGCCAAATTTTTAATGTAGATTCATATGTACATTATAGAATTTTGGCTTTTGTCAAAATTTACCCCCCACCCCTATATTCACCTCCTCACCCACATATTTTTAAAAGGCGTATTTCAAATACTAGAGGCTTGTGCTTTACCAAATGCATGCATATCTATGTTATAATCATAGTCTGAATGTTTTATGAAGAAAATACATCCACAAGAAAAGTTATTAAACAATTAAATTCTCATAGTAAGCGCACACTGCAGCCCATGCGTGTTTAGGCGTGGGCGCTTGTGTGCGTGAATGTGTGTGTATGCGTATGTGTGGGAGTGGGTGTGGGTGTATGTGTATGTGGGTATGTGTGTGTGTGTGTGTGTGTGTGTGTGTGTGTGTGTGTGTGTGTGTGTGTATGCGTGTGTGTATGCGTGTGTGTGTGTGTGTGTGTATGCGTGTGTGTGTGTGTGTGTGTGCGTGCGTCTGTCTTGTTTAAGCAGAAAGACGCGAAAAATTGATTGAAATAGCTATTGCTCGAAGGGTTCAGGCGATCTTCGAGCAGACTCGACTAGAGCTTTCTTACTTGTTTTGTATGATATGTTAGATATCTGACAGCTAGATGCAAAGATATATATGTATGTTGTGTTTGGCCGACTGATTGACCAATTGATCGACGGACCAACTTACAGAGTGGACAATGAATGTGGACTTCATAGAACGAATAAAACTAGATAAACTATTATTTGT